TTACTTCTTGTGTCTTGCTTACAACAGTCCTGCTAAAACATCTGTCAAGGCTAATTCCCCGCTCTGGCACTCCAAGTGCAGAAGGTGGGGGGCCTGCAAGGATTCTAAAAATTAATTCTGACCCACTCCTGGCTTGTATTAAAATCCCAAGATTACATTTTTTTCTGACCTTGGATTGGTAGATACTGCCACCACCCAAGTGCAGAACCCCTTTAAGAGCCCAGGAAGGTGCCCTTGGGAATTCCTTCCTGTGGGGTGCCCTCAAGCCCTTTCATCCCCCTCCCCTCCCGGGGAAGAGCTGAGAAAGAAAGAAAAAAAAGGAAATCAGCTGTTGCCACGAGTTAATTAAACAACAAGTTATGAATCGCAGGTCTTAAATTTGAAAATGTGAACTTCCTCTGAAGTGTGTATTAAAAGAAAGTGGTTATTTAACACTTCCTCCACCCCTCATTTTTCATTTTGTTACCTGCCTGAGATTGATGGATAGCTTTGGAACCTGGAAAGACAAAATCTAACCTGGGCCGAGCAGTTCTTTCAGAATTGGGTATATGGACATCGGTTTGTGCATCCTGTGTCCTTTGGATTACAGTGGGAGGTTGTTCTTTCTGAGATCTAAAAATGGTGCATTCAGGAATTTACATTTAAAGATGTCAAGTTGGTAAATATGTGTCATTTCATTTCTTTTCTTTTGCTAAGATAAACATTGTGGTAGCAGTCTCTCAATCTAAGACTGTTTAACTGTTGGCTGTTACTTTAGAGAATGGAGGATTATATATGGAGGGGGGATGTTTTGCTTAAAACAGTCCTAACAGTTTGGAATGAGGAGGCTGAAAGGCTCAAGGAATTAGAAATGGGATACAGAGCCTTTTATTTCTAGGTCACTGGTTTGAATCCAGCCCAAATCAATACTGAGTGAAAATCATTGCTGTTTGACAGCTAGCTGTTCAGTGACCAAGATGACATGAGTCAATGATATAAACCCAGCTGTAGACAGGTGTTCATTACAGTTGGCACTCATTGGCACCTGTGTCGGCAATCTCAAAAGGCAACCGCCAGTTAGAGGTACATTAAGCGACATAATTACAGCGTCATAAGCGCTAGTGTGCACAGTACTGTGTCGGCGGGAGAGCTTCTCCTGCTGATATAGCTATCACCACTTGTTGGGGTGGATTAATTATGTCAACAGGAGAACGATTCTTCCGTCAGCATAGAATGACTACACGAGAGAATTTACAGCAGCGTAGCTGCATCGGTACAGCAGTGCGCTGTAAGGTCTCTAGTGTAGACATAGCCTAAACTGCTGCCTAATATTGTATGCTGTTATACACTGCCATGCGTCACTCCAGGTTGATTACATTTCACTGTGTGAAGGGATCCCTACAGAGCATTTCTTATAAAACAAAACAAAAAACTTCCTTGGGACGTAAGCTGTTATGTAAATGTAAATCATCATTAGAAATTCTTTAAAGCCATTGTTTTTAGGTAACAGTCTTTCAAGAATGTTAAATAAGATTGGCAAACAAAGAATCTTTTAAAAGATTAGATGTTTGGAATATGAGTAGAATAGCCTGAGTAAGCAGCATCAGGATAATTGTAGAGAAGAGGAATGATGTTTTCACAGTTACAGGGCAAACTGCACTTAACACCCTTTTAATCCCTCTTGAGTTGCACCCCTTAGGTGACAGGACTGGCTTCCTGCACCTCACTCGGTGTGGTACCAGATGGTCCAGCCACCTAGGACTGAGTCACTGGGCCGCAGCCTAGAATCATAGAATATCAGGGTTGGAAGGGACCTCAAGAGGTCATCTAGTCCAACCCCCTGCTCAAAGCCTCTTAATGTATCAGGCCCATCTGTGGTTGGGACCTGCAACCCCTTTTCTTTCAGGGACCTGTGACTAGTGAGTTGATTAAAGCAATTCAAAAACAGTGTCTTCAGAACAAAGCATTATTTATTAGGGCTGTCGATTAATTGCAGTTAACTCACGCAATTAACTCAAAAAGATTAATCTCAATTAAAAAAATTAATCGTGATTAATCACAGTTTTAATCGCATTGTTAAACAATAGAATACCAATTGAAATTTATTAAATATTTTTGGATGTTTTTCTACATTTTCAAATATATTGATTTCAGTTACAACACAGAATACAAAGTGTACAGTGCTCATTTTATATTATTATTTTTCATTACAAATATTTGCACTGTACAAATTATAAACAAAAGAAACAGTATTTTTCATTTCATCTTATACAAGTACTGTACTGCAATCTCCTTGTCGTGAAAGTGCAACTTACAAATGTAGATTTTTTTTGTTACATAATTGCACTCATAAACAAAACAATACAAAACTTTAGAGCCTACAAGTCCACTCAGTCCCACTTCTCGTTCAACCAATCGCAAAAACAAACAAGTTTATCTTCCATAAATGTAAACAGTGCTTCCTGCTTCTTATTTAGAATGTCACCTGAAAGTGAGAACAGGCGTTCGCATGAGACTTTTGTAGCTGGCATTGCAAGGTGTTGTGGAAGCAAAAAAAGAACGGTCATGCATTGCAATTCCCTTCCTGTTAGTTCTTTTTTTGCTTCCACAGTATTTACATGCCAGATATGCTAAACATTCATATGCCCCTTCATATTTCAGCCACCATTCCAGAGGACGTGCTTCCATGCTGATGATGCTCATTTAAAAAAAAAAGTGTTTATTTAAATTAAATAATTAAATTCTCCTTGGGGGGAGAATTTAATGTATCCGGCTCTATTTTACCTGCATTCTGCCATATATTTCATGTTATAGCAGTCCCAGATGATGACTCAGCACATGTTGTTCATTTTTAAGAACACTTTCGCTGCAGATTTGACAAAATGCAAAGAAGGTACCAATGTGAGATTTCTAAAGATAGCTACAGCACTCGACCCATGGTTTAAGAATTTTAAGTGCCGTCCAAAATCTGAGAGGGACGAGATGTGGAGCATGCTTTCAGAAGTCTTAAAAGAGCAACACTCCAATGTGGAAACCACAGAACCCGAATCACCAAAAAAGAAAATCAACCTTCTGCTGGTGACATCTGATTCAGATGATGAAAATGAACATGTGTCAGTCCGTACTGCTTTGGATTGTTATCGAGAGGAACCCATCATCAGCATGGAAGCATGTCCCCTGGAATGGTGGTTGAAGCATGAAGGGACATATGAATTTTTAGCACGTCTGGCATGTAAATATCTTGTGACATCGGCTACAACAGTGTCATGAGAGTGCCTGTTCTCACTTTCAGGTGACATTGTGAAAAAGAAGCGGGCAGCATTATCTCCTGCAAATGTAAACCAACTTGTTTGTCTGAGCGATTGGCTGAACAGGAAATAGGACTGAGTGAACTTGTAGGCTCTAAAGTTTTACATTGTTTTATTTTTGAATACAGTTATTTTTTTAACATAATTCTACATTTGTAAGTTCAATTTTCATGATAAAGAGATTGCACTACAGTACTTGTATGAGGTGAATTGAAAAATACTATTTCTTTTGTTTTTTACAGTACAAATATTTGTAATAAAAATAAATAGAAAGTGAGCACAGTACACTTTGTATTCTGTTATAATTGCAATCAATATATTTGAAAATGTAGTAAGCATCCAAAAGTATTTAAATAAATGGTATTCTATTATTGTGTGACAGTGCGATTAATCGCATGATTAACTGTGATTAATTGTTTTTAATCACTTGACAGCCCTATTTTTTATTCCTTCCTCCCAAGGTACAAAGCACATACAGCAAGGGGTAAAAACAATAAAAAGGTATAACCCTAACCCTAAGTCTGGATCTTACTTATCCTTAATCTTTCCTTACCAGCTTTTGCAAGTTTCTCTCTGGGAGAAACAGACTGTCCTGTTCACAGCAGGCTCTCTGTCTCTGTCTGTTTTTTCTGACACGCTCTGAGAAACCTCTGGCCACTCACTCAACTTCCATTCTTTTCTAGACCCTGGGTATTCTAATATTTTACCATTCCCTTTGATCTCTGTCATCTCAGCCATAGCAAAACAGCTATGTCACCACAGTTGGAGTGGAGGAGTCTTTTCTTAGCTATTATGTTTGAGTGTTTGTTGGGATGAGCCTTCGCCATTGTTTTACCTTTCCTGCTTGTTCCTCTAACAACCACTTTTGATGTAACTCCATAGGAAGTAACCCATCATAAACTCTTACACAGAGGCATGCACCATATTCATAACAAATAATATAGATATTCTCACTTTGTCACGTCTAATTGGTTTTTGGATGATATTAATATGCTAGTTGGAAAGGATGCTGGGGAAAATTGATAAATTTCTCAGAGTTGTCTTAAATGTAAGTTAAAATATTGAATGTCTGAGTAGGTATATCAAATGAATCACCACTTTTTTCAAGGCTATGAAATCCTATTCCTATTATGCTGAACATCAGTATATGCATTTAATGGTGTATTGTACAGTTTTATATTTAGGGTGCTTGTGTGTGGGCAAATAACCTTCATGTAATATTTGTTTGTTGCCTTTTTTCTAGTAGTAAGGAACTGTGATTATAATTTTTGTTGTGATAGAATTTTTTAAATGATTTTTGTTTGGTTTTTTTAATGTTCTTGTTTTTATTTCTTGTTTCTCATTTTTCTTTGTTTGGATTAATAAAAGTAGTGGGCCCTTCTCACTTATACCAGTTGAAAACGGGAGTAATTCTGTTGCAGTTAGTGGAGTTGCATTAATGTAAATCTGGTCTGAGAGGAAAACTAGACCTAAGGTAAAACTTTGAAAAGTGCCTGAGTCCTGTTTTCAAAGTGACTTATGTGTCTAAGTGTCACTGACACTTTGGCTCCTAAATTCCTGAGTCTGTTTTGAAAATGGGACTGAGAAGCCTAAGTCACTTATATGGTTTTGCAAATTTTATTCCAATTTTTTGTTCATTTCCTACTTTAAAAGGAAGAAATATTGCACTATTAACATTCAGATTGACACTTTTTATTTGTGATTCTCTTATAGGAAACAGATTCAGGCTCTTCTAGGGCAGTTTAGCCAAGCAGAAACCTTATTAATCTCAGCTGGAGTAGAGCCAGGAATGCTAGATGGAGTTCTTTTGGATGCTGGGTGTTCCTCTATGCAGCTTGATACTCCTAAAAGAGGTTTTTCCCTGCGAAAGGATGGCCCTTTGGATATGAGGATGGATAGTGGCAGGTATGTATTGATCAAACATTTCTTCTCACAACAAGAAATCAATTTCTCAACAACACTCTGAATTTAATTTCCTTTTTAGGTTGCAGAATTCCCATCACACGCCCACATCTAACTCTGCACATACATAATAAATCAGCTTTGTTCTTTTGCCATAGAGGCTCATCTAGTTCTCAGGATTTAGGGCCAGATTCCAATCTCGCTTACTCCAGCATAAAGTGAAGGTACTTCTGGGTTTCAGTGATGGAAGGTCAGAATTTGACTATTAGGCTTTCCATACTTAAGGTTAAAAACAATGAATAATAACAATAATTAAAACAAGCATCTTTAATTTTGTTAAGCAGACCGTGATGTGGAATATAAATGAAATTGTAACTGAGAAGGTGGTTTATCATCTAGGTGAAATGAGGATGCTTAAGTATAAGTAAAGTTCTAACAGATTTCTTTTAACCTTAGTAGCTACTCTGAAGATGGGCATGTGCTAATCTCTACAAAGAAACGGCAGTGAGCCTATCAATTAAATTACAATGGCAACACTGCTTTCAAGGCATTAAATATTCTACCACTACTTGCATGCTTACTGTAAGCAATTCATTAACGTTGTTCTATGTTTCATAGCAAGCAGATCAGAATGACTTACTTTATACTCAAATTAACAAGTAGTAAAAAAAACCCTTTATATTTAATTGATTAGAGTCAGTGCTGCATATAATCTGGAAGGTGGAATGCAATGCTAATCATAAATAGTAATGTTTTCTGTGTATATAGCAACTGTCACCTGAAGGGACCCAGTGCCTTTCATGGGGAATATGCCTTATTACAGAAAACACCAAATATGCAGTCACCTCTGTTGTATGGATGATGGTAATTAACTGAGACATAGCATGCTGCACACCTATAAGGGAATGGGAAATTCTGGCCAAAAATAATGGGACAAACTTGTGTTCTTAGAATATAAGCCATGGTATTGTTAATGTTCACACATAGCCAATGGTACCTGAGTTTCTAAGAAACTATCTCAAAGACTGACACAGTAAACTGCATGATACGCAATATAGTCAACTCTAGGATGAACAGCTGAGATCTTACTGGGTTCAAGCCTGTGGTTTCAAAGAATGTAAACCTGAGGTTTTTGCCGCTAAAATATCCCTGCTGGTATATGAACTTGCATGATAAGAATAAAGAATGACTGGGATAAAACGGGCATATATTGTACAGTTGAGGATAAATATACAGGGCAAATAGTATCTTAAGTTTGGTTATTTTCTGTAAGATATTGTGGGGAAATAATAAAATACTGAAAAGTATTCTGCCTATCTGTTCCTTTGTAGAAGAGGCAAGTCTGTGAAATAGTTGAATTAGATTGAGCAGTCTCTGCACATTACTGAATACCCATGCAGTGTATATAAAAGACCTTGAATGATTTCAATAAAGAAAGTTGTACAGGTTAAAGAAATATTGATGACTATGGGATATTTTGTTTGCCTTTTGGTAGATAGTTACAAATATCCTTTTCTTTCAAAATACTTTTGAATTTAAATTGAGATACCTTTAAGTGACAGTACAGGAAATTATCTTCATAAGGGATCATTTTTCATAGCACTGCATATAAGGGGAAAGATCCTTGAGATTAGTTCCTCTGTATTCTGAGTGGAAAACAGAACAAATAATGCAAGATGACTAAAACCAACACATAAGAAATGAGTTCATATTTTGAAGATATCTAAATAAAGGCAATCTTACAGTCTTTCAATTTTAGAAAAATACTTGAACTACAGCTAATCTTTGTCAACTCATTAATGTTAAAAGTTTACGGTAGTACCTGAAGTTTCAGCTATTCTTTATTGCTAATTAATGTTAAGGAAGACACTCCATCTGAAGTAATAAGACGGGATTTAAAAGGTAGAAGCTATTTCCGTTTTCACAGGATTGCTTTCTCTTATTTTAAAACCTCAAAGGCACTTGCATGCAGTGTGTGTGTTTGACTTTATGTCTCAATGCTATGAAGCTTCACCTCTTGTCAATGAAAACTGACGTCAGTGAACTAATTGGCTCTTCTTGTGCGTAGGTATCCTGACATGCCCACTGCTGCTGATGTTGTGAATGCTTTAGATCAACAGGCGCTTGCGTCCATCCTGAGAACATACGGGGAGGAGAGGCACGCCAAGAAAATAGCTTCAGCAGTCGTTCAGGCACGCAGCATCTACCCCATCACCAGAACTCAGCAGCTTGCCAGCATTGTTGCAGGTACCCTCATTAATTCTGAACAGTGTCTGAGAGAGAAAAAATATTAATCCCCAAAGTCCCAGAGGGATCTATTTGTTCTTGAAATCATGCAGGATCTAATCCTGTCTATCCTTCTCTGATGTGTTGTTTTGTTTTGTGAGCTCCCTTTTTTTATATGCTGTGGCTTCCTGATTAGTTTAATAATAGATTTTACATGAAGTGATTTATCATTTTTGCCCACCAAGGTGAAACATTGAATGACAACCACAGAGGGAATTCTTTATCACTACTGTTGATAAGCCCTCAATTATCAGATCTACTTTATATTTTTGAGGTGTGGGGGTGGTAGTACCATGACACTGCCCAACAACTGAAATAAAATAGATTAGCTCATATTTTTCTTCTAAACAGCCAGCTAATGAAGAGTAAAATGATGTGTAGGTTATTTCACTTTGTGAACACTAACTAGATCAGCCTGAAGGGCTTAATGAAACACTTCATCTTAGTTGCTGTTCACCATAAACCTTCTGAACTGAATGTAGCTAGGAGGTGCTTTGTTGCAGGCAGGAATTGTTTCATAGCTGTGCCCTATGATGAAAGTTTTCCAAGCCAAAATACAATTTCTGTAGCTGCTTAAGACAGTTCCATTGGACAATCCCTAGTCTTGTCAGAAATACATCTAAAGGAGTGAAACTCTTGTATCTCTAGCTAGGGAAACTATCTTCTAATGTAATGTATTTTGGTTTATGGTTGCTGTTGGCTTATTAATAATGGAGAAGTTCTTAAGTAATCTTAGAACTTTCAATGAAAGGTTTAGCACCATTTTAATAATATAGGCTGTTTAGGCAAGTTATATGGTGAAATCATATACACCTGAACTTTAGCCATAAAAGACGTGAAATGATTAAAGCTCTGGAAGAAGTATGAAGATACTATTGCTGTAGAAAGATCACACTGTAAGCATACTATATGAAAACAATGTAATGACAAAGAGGTGGGATCAGTTGATCAATATATAATATATAAACCTTAAATAAAATCTGACAATTCTGTATTTAAAAAGTAGCCATTTCCATCTACATTTAGTGGTAGTGATTTAATTTGCTTGTCAGACACATGCTTCTTTCTAGAGCTGTTAATTAAAACAGTATGTCATTGTTTATGAACTTAAAGCAGCTACCCTGATGCTGTGTTAAATTTTTAATAAGCTGTATGTCTTAAAAATACTATACAAGTTAATATTGTTATGAACTAAATAAAAGTGTCAGCACATTAGATTACCAGTTCCAGGTAAAAGACAATGGTCAAATTTGCAGCAGTGTTGTATCGGTTACCTATGAATCATAGCCTTAACTGCCACTTCTTCTGTTATTTTAAATCCCTTGCTGTACATTATGTAGTTTTGACAGGTATATCAATATGATAAAATGCATGCCAAAGAAATTTATCAAATGACATTTTATATCAGGATTTTTCCTTTTAATAAGTACAGCTTCTGTCTACCAACATGTACAAAACACATATACTTACCAAACATCTCTCTATATAGAATAGGCAAGTAATTAAAATTGGTTTAGCCCATTCTTTCAGTCTATGCTTAGGGAGAACTCCCTGGATTTCAGTGTGAATCTGCACCGAGTAAGAAGTGCAGGACTGGCTCTTATTAAGCTTTCGTTAATTGTTTATACCTTAAGGTATAACGAACAATATTACATATAGTATAGAATAGTACATGTAATACTATAGTATAGTATACATAGGTATAGAATTTTTTTAAATGATTTCTTTTAATGTTCTTGTTTTTATTTCTTGTTTCTCATTTTTCTTTGTTTGGATGAATAAAAGTAGTGGGCCCTTCTCACTTCTCAGGGAATTCTACTACCTAATTCTAGGAGCTTCCATGGCTTATAGTTCTGATGGTCTCCTGCATGGCCACAAGGGGCCCTGCAACACGAGACCTCTCGGAGCCTTCCTCCTATTGAAGTAGAATCTTCAGGAGAACCTTTTCCGTTCACTCTCCCTACTCTCATGCTGAAATTGTTGTGGGGGTGTCAACATACAAAAACCCTCACCACAAAGAATCCCCTCACAGAGACTCCTGCAATGCAGATCATTGTGGATGCTTTGCTATCAGGTTGAAGAGCACCTGTGGTGCACAAATATCACTGAGTAAATGGTCCAAATGAGAGAGAAAACAGAACATCAGAGGGTTAGAACTGACAGCAATTAGCAATACTGTAGTTTAATCCTTTACCTGACATCCAAATCTGTCCTTCTACAAAATGACTGCCATGCAATGTTTGTCAGGAAACCAGAGCCTGAGGGTCAGGGAACATACTCACAGAATCTTTCTCTAGATAGAACAGAAGAAATTCTAGGTATCTAAGATTGATGTCCAGGGTAAATGCATGTACAATTAAATTGGTTAAGCCATCTAGCCTTCTGTCTAGAGGCATAAAAACTCAACCAGATAATTAAAAACTTGATGTTCAGGATATTGGGGACTGCACCTTCAAAAGCAAGAAGAAACTAATCACTTTTTGCAAGGCACTGGAACAAGAAAATGTGTGACATTGCTTGAATGAGAAAGAATCTATCTGGAAAATGGATGTGCATCCTCCCATCTTTTTCTCAGCTGGCTTGAGTGGCCAAGAAAAATCAGGACAAACAATGCTATTGTAGTCCTTGTAACTACCTATTAGTTTCATGGGCCCTCCACAGACTAGCTAGTCTCCCAAAACCTTCTATATCAGTGGTGGGCAAACCGCAGACACTGGAAGCTGTGGGTGGCCGTGCAAATGTAAACAAACTGTCTGGCGGCCCGCCAGCGGATTACCCTGATGGGCCTCGTGCGGGCCACAGGTTGCCCACCACTGTTCTATATTAAGAACATAAGAAGATAAGAATGGCCATACTGGGTCAGACCAAAGGTCCAACCAGCCCAGTATCCTGTCTGCTGACAGTGGCCAATGCCAGATGCTCCAGAGGGAGTGAACCTAACAAGTAATGATCAAGTGATCTCTCTCTTGCCATCCATCTCCACCCTCTGACAAACAAAGGCTAAGGACACCATTCCTTACCCATCCTAGCTAATAGCCATTAATGGACTTAACCTCCATGAATTTATCTAGTTCTCTTATAAACCCTCTTATAGTCCTAGCCTTCACAACCTCCTCAGGCAAGGCGTGCCACAGGTTGACTGTGCGCTGTGTGAAGAAGAACTTCCTTTTATTTGTTTTAAACCTGCTGCCCATTAATTGCTTTTGGTGGCCCCAAGTTCTTATATTATGGGAACAAGTAAATAACTTTTCCTTATTCACTTTCTCCACACCACTCATGATTGTATATACCTCTATCATATCCCCCCTTAGTTTCCTCTTTTCCAAACTGAAAAGTCCTAGCCTCTTTAATCTCTCCTCCTATGGGACCTGTTCCAAACCTCTAATCATTTTAGTTGCCCTTCTCTGAACCTTTTTTAATGTCAGTATATCTTTTTTGAGATGAGGAGACCACATCTGTACGCAGTATTCAAGATGTGGGCGTACCATGGATTTATTTAAGGGCAATAAGATATTCTCTGTCTTATTCTCTATCCCTTTTTTAATGATTCCTAACATCCTGTTTGCTTTTTTAACTGCCGCTGCACACTGCCTGGACGTCTTCACTATCCATGATAACTCCAAGATCTCTTTCCTGATTAGCTGTAGCTAAATTAGCCCCCATCATATTGTAAGTATAGTTGGGGTTATTTTTTCCAATGTGCATTACTTTACATTTATCCACATTAAATTTTATTTGCCGTTTTGTTGCCCAATCACTTAGTTTTGTGAGATCTTTTGTGAGATCTTGAAGTTCTTCACAGTCTGCTTTGGTCTTAACTATCTTGAGCAGCTTAGTATTGTCTGCAAACTTTGCCACTTCACTGTTTACCCCTTTCTCCAGATCGTTTATGAATAAGTTGAATAGGATTGGTCCTAGGACTGACCCTTGGGGAACACCACTAGTTACCCTTCTCCATTCTGAAAATTTACCATTTATTCCTATCCTTTGTTCCCTGTCTTTTAACCAGTTCTCCATCTTTTACCAGATCCTAGATAAGCCCCAGGTAAAAGCCAGAAATTTAAAATTTAAAAACTAGAATTTGGATTCACCACAGGCTAGTGGATATTTTGTTCCAAACCAGAAAGCTATTTACCTTTAACCTTTAATACAAGACCTAGGAAGGGCATGTGCGGTTGTGCCCATGAATTCAGTTCCACAAAAGTAAATGTGAAACATTTTCTTCAACTTTCTGCTGGGAGGCTACCAGAAAGAACTGTGTTGTGGGCAGGTCGCAATACCAGAGGCTCTGCAGTTTTTGCAAGAAAAAGGGAGACTTGCAGGTTTTGCCCCTCTCTCTCTCTAGAATCAATAAAGCTATTGATGATGTCTAACCATCTCAAACATCTGGTAGTACACAGGTAATCTTACTCTTGATCTTAAACACCTGATGAAACTCCCTTTGAAATGTCATCAGAAGTCTCCTTTACTTTTTATAATATAAGGTGTCCATCATCTCTTCCTGAGAGCAAGCAAACTTCATGCCCTGTCAGCAAAAAAACCCATTTTTACAATTATTTGTCTCAAACACTGATATCCTACTGCAATAGGCACTCTATAAATACTTTACATCATTGGTTCTCAATGAGGGGGTTATGAACATGTCCACAGGGATGAACAGGAAACACTGCCTTAGATAGATTTTTGCAACAGCTACTTGGAGGTTAATAGGTATACATTAAAACTTACTGAAAAATATAAAGGTTGAACTTCTTAAAATGTAGCTTTAGTGTTCTTCTATTCTACTGATCAACAATTCTTATTTCATTTCAGTGGGTGATATGCCTTGTTACCTATTAGCTTAAGCTAGTAACTTAATTTTGCTTGGTTTCATTTAGATTTGTAACCCATTGACAGATCATTGTGAGATCATGTAGTCATCTGGATTTAACTTGAGAGAAGTTGGAGATTAGATGATAAAG